TGGACATTTCTATTCAAATCCATTTTAATCAACATCAAATCACGCTAAATGAGCATTTTTTCAAAGGAATTAATGTAAAAATCAATCTCCAAAATTCTTCACATTAATTGATCATGCTATTACTTTAGCTAAATCCCACACTAAAAGCTCATAAAGATAATAACCAATTCATTACATTTTGTCTGCTCTATCTTGAGAATCCAGCCACACTACAAGCTTCATAGAGGACAGAAAGAGATAAATAGACTTTCCATATTGGAGCAAATAAAAGTATTGCAATAGATAGTGTACACAAATTTAGACACTAAATTCACTAATATATTAAAAGAATTTCTAAGGCGCAACCATTACAGTTTTCCTTTAAACAGAAGGAGTAATAATAAAAAAGTGCTAGCTAGTAATTGCCGTTTAAATCTAAATAGCTATGATTAAAAAAATGAAGAGTAAAAATGACGCGGGATAACAGGATATGTCACATTAATTTGCCCACTTCGAAACTGGAGAATTTGTAGACATCCCAATATTAAACCATTTAATTCCATAAGGCCAATTAGCAAAAAAGTCATTAAATTATAGTTAATTGGTTATATTAATTTTATAAAAAATAAAATTTTTTTAAGTTCATGCTATTTCCGAATGAATTAAAATTTGTAATTTGTATGTACCATATACGTTACTTTGTGAAGGAGTTGATGTCAGAGGTTTTTCGAAGTTTCCAAAAAAATTGCCTTTTCGCTGAAATTTAACCAAAAATTGACCCCGAGTGGATGAATATGTTCTTATTGTGTAGGCCACAGTATATTTTGGCCTATCAAAACCCTCCTAAGTGAAAAGTCTTAATTAGTATGACGTTTAAATAAAAATATAATAAGTAAATAATTAAGCGCATTTTACATAAAAAATCTTGTTAATTTTTACTAAAATTATTTTTTTTAATAATATAATGATAAGAAATTGTATGAGAGTTTGGACGAAAATTTGATTTGACATTATTGTTATTGTATTAAATATTTGATATTATTTAGAATATGAGACACCTTTTTAAGTACACGAAGAAGGAAATATATTCCTTTTGAAATAAAGATATCATAGTTTTTCCCGTAAGTTCATCTTATCGTAAAATGTTATGAATTGAAGTCGTATATAGATTTTTTAAAAAAAATAAATAAATTTTTTCAAATAGATATTATAATATTAATTAAAGAAATAAAAAAAATAAGAAAAGGTATATATTGTTATTAATATTTTTAAATGTGTTGGTAAAGGATTTGATTAGAACATATAGTTGTTTTATATAGAAGTCAAATATTGAAAGTAAAACAATTACAGAGAACATAATACTCTGATGATGGGTACAGTGTGAATTTATACAATTTATTAACAAAAAATATAGAATTATTGTATTAATATATTTTATTGATATATTTATATATCTACAAATATTGAAATGTTTTTTTATTAGGTGAGTTTTAAAAGAGTTTTATTCTTAATAATAATTTTTTACTTTCTTTTTCGCTACTGAATAAGTTGTAACTACTATTATTTTAATTTAGTAAAAAATTTATATCTCCCTTGTAATAAATAGATGACCTATAGATGATTAAACACTTTTAATTTTCTTGTTATTTTTTCTCTTCTATCCTAAATCTGTTTGACTTGAAAAAATAATATTTAGAAAACTGGAAAAAAACTATAACTATATATTTATGTTCGGGTTACTTTTTGGGGTTTCAAGAATTTGTGTGTATGTGCATATACTACTTTCTCTTATACACTGGATAAGTAATACTACAACTATAGCCAAAGTGATTTCTATTATCAATTCATATCATCTTCTCATGTCTTTTCTTTTACCTAACAGTACAAAATAAGTTTTTTTTTTTCATTATGGTTCTATATAGATATTGATTTAGGGTTGAGGGTGCGGGTTGAAGATTGCATGATGGCTTGATTTAGGGATCAAAAGATTAGGTCTAAAGATTGTGTTGAACTTTTGTCTTAGACCACTTTATTATAGAAAAATAAAATTAAGTACATAGGAAGTAACATTGCAAGTAGTTTGTACGATAAAGTGCAATATAAATTAACCACTTATATTTATTTTAATCTAAACAAAACTTATGCTTTAATATTATATAAATAAAAAATGAGTATATAACGAAGGTAGTTTTGTTATCTGATTTATATAAAGTGCTCAAATATATTAATTAACTCATCTCTACTAATATTATAGTAAAATATAAATTAACCACTTATATTTATTTTAATCTAAACAAAACTTATGCTTTAATATTATATAAATAAAAAATGAGTATATAACGAACATAGTCAATGTGCAACACACGTCATACAAAGGACTAGTACATATAAAAGTACGAATGAGGAAGAATATCGGGCTCCTAAAACGCCTCTACTAAGTTTGTGGATTGAAAAAAAATATCATTGAGAACTTTAATTTTATTGGTTGAAAAATAAATGTAATTTAATTTTGATTGGTTATGTTAATTTTCTATTTGAATTTTGATTGGTTATAATAATTTTCTATTTGAATTTAAATTATATTAGAAAGTTTAATTTAATTTTAAATAGGAATTAGTTTTAATTTTTTTTATAGAAAAATTGTTATTTTCTTATTTATTAAAATATTGAATCGTTCTTTGGATTATTAGGGAAGACACATAAAGAAAGGTTGGATCTTTTTTTTTGACAATTGATAAAAAAAACTAGATTGTTGTAGGGCTAAGCATATTTGGATTAAAATTAATTGAAAAGGATGAATTCAGCGGATTTGATTGTTACTTAAAAATTTTAAATATTTGATTTAATATAATAAATGGGATGTTTACTATAAATCAGTATATATTTTTATTTATGGAACGTTTATCTATGTAGTATAATATTATTGATTAATATTACTTATGTAGTAAAATTCTAATATAATTAGGAGTTTAATCATATTCTAATTATGATATCAATTTATTATTTATATTATATTAATATTATTACCTTATGTAAGTAAATTGCGTAACATATAAAATTGAAGAGAAGTTAATCAAGTATAATTCTAAATATGATTCAAATTTATTATTTATATATATTAATATTACATTGAGTTCTTTTAATTTGAAATTATGAGTTTTGCAAATATATTTTTGCGGTGAGTAAAAATCTCATCCATGATGATTTAAACTCACCCTATATATAATTAATAGACTAATACTTTCTTAATAATGAATATCATCCTGAGTTATCTCCCGACTTTGGGCATAGTATGTGGTTTGGTTTGTGATGCTAAAACACCCAATGCTAATAAGCCCCTTAAACAGCTTTTTATTTTCGCTTGTTACAACATTATATTATCCAAGTCTCCTAACTTGGATAAATAGAGCCAGAATGTATGAACAATAAAAGTCGAAAAATAAGGTCTTAAGAAGCTAATTCATGTAAGTAATTAAACGTATATTTTGATAATGGTCGACTCTTCATTTAATAAAAAATAGATTAATTAAAGGAGGATAATATTGTTTATTCAATTGATATTATACGGAACTAACTCAGATAACACTAGAATCAGTAAAAGAAAAATTTATAAACATCCATCTTTAATTTAAATAAAAAAGTCAACACCACCGTTACAATAGAATTGATTTAAAAACATAATTCATTAAATCAATCATTAATATCTCTTAAAATAAATAATAGAGACAATCAATGATACGAATAACCGACAAACAACTTGAAGGCGGAGAAAAATTAAATTTTTAAAAATAGTCAATATGCAATGAATAGTAAAATTCTAATATAATTAGGAGTTTAATCATATTCTAATTATGATATCAATTTATTATTTATATTATATTAATATTACATTGAGTTCTTATTAATTTGAAATTATTGAGTTTGCAATTATTTTTGCGGTGAGTAAAATCTCATCATATGTTTTAACTCACCCTATATATAAATTAATAGACTTAAATACTTTCTTACATAATAAATATACTATCTTGAATTTCTCCGACTTTGAAGTTGTGTGTTGGTTGTGATGCCTAAAAACACCCAATGTAAAAAGCCTAAACAGCTTTTTTATTTCGCTGTTCACACATTATTATTATCCAAGTCCCTAACTATGGATACAGATGTTGACAATATTCAATAGGCTTATGAAGCTAAATTCATTGTATAATTAAAAGTTATATTTTAATGCATTTATTTTATATATTAGAGTATATGTTTATTCATGATATACGTACTCAAGATTTAACTATGATAATAAAAGAAAAATTTATAATCCATTTAATTAATAAAAGCAACACACCTTCATAATTTTGAAACATATTATTTATATTAAACTCTTAAATAAATAAATAAATAAATCATGATCATCCGAAAAAACTTGAAGGAGAGAAAAATTACTTTTTAAAATAGTAAATGCAATGAATAAGTACATCGAGTATCATCGAGCATAAATGTTAATTTTATAGATTTGGCTATGGAAAAGGTTTTTCAGTGTAATTTTGGTTATTGAAGAAAGGAAAGAAAAGAGAGAGAGATGAGGATAAACTGATTTCTTAGAAAAGAAAATATGTCTTTTCATACTGACTTAACGGTAAAAGCCTGAAACTTGAGGGACTATTATTAAATTAATTCTTGAAAATAAAAAGACGAAATAGTAAATTAGGTCAAGCCTTTATTTTCCCTTACTCTAAATTATTACTTGGAGCAATTGTTTCTTATCAATCAAAAACTAAAAGGCGGATAACAGTGTCAGTGCCTTCAATGATAATTGCACAAACTTCTTAATGGTTGCCTCATAATGCAGGCGCCCAGGTTTGAAAATCCTATTAATAATTGAAATATTTTCAATCTAAATTCTAAACCCGTGCCGGTTTATATGTGTGTGTGTATATATAATTAAAAAAATAATAAAAAGAAAAGAAAAAAATGCTGCCCTCATGTGGCATAAATATGTATGATGCACAAATCAATTAGAGGATTTGCAATGTATGAATTCAAATGTCTATATTATGTAACTTTTTCAGTCCCTACAGTGGAAAGTCCTAGGAAATTATCACAATTTTGTTGCATCTCTGCTGTCAAATGCTAATATGAACTGATGTCATTTTGAAAATGCCATCTGAAAATTTTCTTTTTTAATACAAACAGCCAAATGTATCTCTTATTAGAAAAGCAAGAAAGTTGTCTTACCAGAAACTATTGTACACGAAATCGAACTTTCAATCAGACCTACAAGGACAAACGGCAAAGAATGGCATTTTTAATGAAAACTCAAGATTTCTCACCTTTTGTTGTTATCTTTCTCTACTCTTTTCTTCTACTTCTCTTGCTTGACTCTTTATCAGCAAGTCCAAGAAGATGATCTCCTGATCACTGGCTTCATTTGCTTGTCCTCTTCGAGTGAAATCATTCCCAAATGTGAAGGATCCTCCAGCATCATTTTCGCCACCAAGTACCCAGCAATTGACCATGTCTGATATTTTCTTGCTTGTTTACCAATAAATCTACCAAGTTTCCCATCATAATACTCAGGCCAGCTGTCTTTCAGCAGACGGCTCTCTGCAAGATCAATTGCTCGTCTTGCAATTTGTGGTCGTCCAGTTTTAATGCATGCGGCAGTTAGCAGCCATAAAAGCACTGCATTCACATAATATAGGAAAAAATTTGTATTCCCAGAAAAAAAAAAAAAAAAGGAGTTTATTAACTTGTTATTATCATCTAAAATCTTTACTCACTGCATACAAGAATAACTCCCAATTCAAAAAGAAAAGGAAAAAACCAATTAAAGACAGTTAAATCTATAAGGTTATTCTTGGTGAGCCATAGTGAAATTAAATATAATGCAATAAAACTTATCTTGTAACCATTACACTAGAAATATATCTAATTACATTACATTATATTCTATTACGACTCATCAAACATAGCCTAAAGTTTTTCACGCAAGAACAATTTAGCCAACAAAAATAGAAGCCATAAGTGTTTAAGTCATCAGGCTCAACATACAAGATTGACCAATGCCATTTTTGGTACATGTCATCAATGTTATTCAGTTATTTTTGCTCATGATTCAGTCTTATAAGAGTGAACCTCTCATCGGCTATCAGGAACAGGTTTCACATTAATAGCTCTGAATTGTAAAATTGATTTATTTACTAAATTTTTTAGTCCAAAAAATCCAAAGTATAAATAAGGTTGAATAAATGCAAATGAATACTGAGACAAAATGTAGAACCAGTCAACTTGTCCATGCTCTGTAGCAGGTAAATTTGCATTCCCTAGCTTCACAATTTTATAAATGATTCACCAATAGTTCCAATTCACCTTTTAATACCAAACAATATTATATTAGCCTAATAGAGGACCAACGAGACTATCTTTGCAGCAAGAATATTGTATTAAACTATGTCAATCACAGAATTAAAAAATATTCAATTAAATATAGAGAAAATTATCTAAACCTGGCCAAGATCCTCCATTATGGTAACTCCATCTGGTATTCTTGGGATCGCAACCAGTTACAATTCGCCATTCATGACTTTCTATTGCAGGATAAGCTATTTTCAAAGGCATTTCTCCAACCAGCTCCTCCCAGCGAGCTTCAATAAGATCCATGATAGCCATTGATTGCTCAGGAGTTGCAAGAGATGAGAGAATGGCAACACAATTTCCTAAAGCAAACCATCGAAAATCCATCCTTGCAGGACTAACATTGCCAATAAAATAACCACCACGGGTTGGCATAAAGTCAAATACCCAATCCGGAATTGAATCAGGAATGACATTAAACTTATTTACTGCAGTGTGTGAGTACTCCTCAGTTTTATATCTGTATATGTCATTTAGTTGTTGAAAATCTAACCAAAAGTAACTTCGCATGTGATAGCTCAAGGCATGTAAACGTTTAACAATTCTCTCAATGCATTCTTTTCCTTCGGCATCATGTTTCAACATAGACAACGCACATCTCAATGCCATAAAAAAAAGTGCTTGAATTTCAATAGGATAACCGTAAATGCCCTGCAACATAAATCTAAACCTTCAGAACATGTGTAAGGCTAAAACTCAAAATCTAAATAGAGATGAGATGTCTCATCAATCATCCCTTAACTTCTAAATGTTTAAGAAAGTAAAGTGCTGAGTGCAAACAATACAAATCAATAGCATATAAATTACTCTTTCAATTATAAACAGAGTGTCCTGTGATTGAAATAATATTGTAAAGAATTAGTCTCTAATTTCTGTGCATGCAAGCACATATTCCATATGATTAGAAGACCAGAATTATGGTGGTTTGGCCTCTATATAAATTGCTATAAGGAACACCTAAATTGCAGGAATCAAATGATTCATACAGAGTGTTAATCAATCTAACTAAACAGAAAAAAGCCCATACTTGATGTGCAAAATTAAACTTCAAATTTCCTGAATATATATTTGTTCAATCTGTGTAATACAAAATTCTGAATAACTATAGTTCAAAAGTCTATTTCATTAATTTGACTGGATTTATTATTTAAAGAAAAGGAAATGAGATGAGATTAGTTATGCAATTAAGGAGGAAGCCAAAAGTTACTAGCTTCTGCAGTGATTCTTCAGTTCAAAGTCATCTCATTTTTAAATATTTGAAAATCGTAATATCATGCACATATTCTGTGATGTGATACAAAATGGCACGAAACATAAACAAATTTCCATAGAAAAAACAAAGGCAAATCATTTTTCATACAATGTTCTTTTACAGTATAGAATTAAGAGTTTTCAGGAACCTAAGAATTTTGTCACCTACATACTAAACAACAGAACCTACTACAGTTATCTTCAAGGCTTTAACAAGCTTAAGTCTCAATGTTCCTTAGAAAACCAACAAGGCTTTAACAAGCTTATAATACCAAATATTATGTAACTTTACTCAACTGCAAGGCACATCTTCTTGATTTTGTCTCACATAGGAGTTAAATTTGGCAAACCAAACCAAGTGTATAGAAGAAAGATTATATTAAATTCAGATAATATTACTAATGCATATAAATGAAAGCACCTCATCTTATCTGCTATCTAGAATCAGTTAATTTCTCCACTAGAATTCCCCTGCTCTATACAAATAAGAGGAAACCAACATATTAACAATGTAATTTCTTAATTCCAAAACAATTATACAGTCCATATGAAAAAAATCTGATCTAGAGATAACCATCTCTAATGACTCTACCCATCAGAATATTATTATTCAAAAGAGCAGGTATTTCATGAAGCAACATAACCAAGGCATGGTTTCTTAGTTTAATGGAGCTAGTCCACTTCATAAACAAGCCAATCCAAATGACATGACAAGAACAGCTTACCATTCTGCGATCAATCATAGAGCAACCATCAGCACAAAGAAGAGTCGGGAATGTATCAAATCCCTCCGACAAGCACAAAGTCAATATAAGCCTCATTCCCTTTTGACACTCTGGAGTCTCCGCTAGAGATAAATCCCCTGTAGATTTGGTGTAAGCACGAAGCAGAATGATCCACCAGAAACCAGAGTCAACAGGAGCCACTCTTCCAATGGCACTCTCACCAAAGTCTGCAATAAGAGTATCTGTTTTTCTAATAGGATCATGAAGAACTTTAAAGCTAGCTGGCATCGCCCCTTCCCCAAGCTTGAATCGATCTATTCTCTTTTCCCACCCTTGGAGATGCAGTGTCTTCAACAGGAAGTTCTTAACTATTTCAGGCTCTCCATTCATCAAAAAAGCCAGGGCACTGGGTACGAAATCTCTTACAAAGACCTAAACAGAAGGGGAAGAAGAACAAGAACAAGAGAATAAAAAAAAAGATTCAAATACACTGGCAGTTGCATTTTAAACTTCTCTTAGTTAACCCAATCAAAATTAAGAATTTTAAACCTTTGCAATGAATAATCTCTTGAAATTAGATGAGTCTCTACGATCAGGTTTAGCTTTTTCAATTACCATGATCAAATTCCCAATAGACTTGACTTTATGGTTCAAATCCATATAATCTTCAACATCATTAACCACCAAGTTTAACATGTTTCTCATGTCTTGGGGTTATATTTTTAGAAAATAAAAACAAATACAATCTCATTAACTTCTCAATCTCACTGAATCATGAGTCATGACCTCTACACCAAACATTTGGCTCAAAGATATTATATAGTCAGGCCAGTTGCATATGTAAAACAGAGTTTCTCTGAACTCTTTTTTCTGGATGAATACAATAAATTCATCTCAATAAAGAGACTGTATACAAATTAACAATATACTTCCATAGAATACAAACTAAATTAACAAGCCCATGTTCACGGCCACATCATATACAAGCTGAAACAAGAACATAATAAGTAATGTAATTTGGTTAAAGAATTACCTGATCATAGTTCAAAACCTCCTCTGAGGCATGATCAATTGCAGCAATAGTACCAACTGGTTGGCCTCTGAAGTACACTAACGACCGCCGAAGTGCCTCCCAAGCATCAGCCACCATAGGATGGGGCTCAAATGAGTTGCGAGCGGATGAGGCTGGTGTGTCAAATCCAGACCTTGACCTTCCTCCAGGTGAAAATGTGATCTCAAAGTTATCAAAGCCTCCTCCTCTTGCAAGCCCAATGGAGAGCTCACTTAGTGACCTCTCATCAAATGATCTCTGTCTTTCAATGTTCAGCCTTGGCTTGTCAAGGATGCGAGAGAGATCAAAATCATCCATTTCATTGATTGAGCAAGTTGAACCCACATTTCTAAGCCCCATATCTTTAGTTCCATCCATTTGCTTTCTGTTACTATCCTTCAATAGTGCAGTGACTACTTTGGTCCTATCACCAATAAGAAGATCCCAGCTTTTAGGATACTAATATTCAAAAGAAAATCAGAAATAGAAAATGAAAAATTCAAAAGAAGTATGGAACTATAAATCAACAAAAAAAAAAAAAAAAAAAACCAAAAAAAAAAAAAACCCATTTATAAGCAAAGCTTAGCAATTATTATCCATTCAACTAGGTCTCTAAATTGGAAAAATGAAAAATGAAATAAGTAAAGAAACCCTTCTCATTGCCTAATAAGATGAACTACATTATAAAGTTTGATGGAGAGAGGGAGAAAGAGTGACTGAAAATTTGATAGACAAACATTTTTTAATCGCATCTAAAAATTAAAATTAATTTTTTTTTTAAAACAAAAAGAAAAATTTCCAGCTGCATTACACTTAAATTCCAATTACATTAAGCACTAAATTCTTTAAAAAAAAAAGCTGGAAATCAAGAGCAATAGATCAAGATCCACCAAAAAGGAATGTGAACTCATCATCAATTCGTTACCTAATAAAACAAAAACCACCCCGAAGATAAAATGGAACAATTAAAATAAAATTGCCCGTCCAGCAAAAGAAAATGGATCCAATTGAGCTCCAAAAACGTTGAAAGGCCAGATCTAAAGCCTATGTAAGAAATGTTTTCTTTAACATGTGCATAGAGACGGAAATAGAAAAGAGAGAGAAAGTGAGCAAACCTTCACGGGGCATAAAATGGCGAGAAGAGAAACTCGCCGGCGGGAAACAACAGCGATTTCGCCTGTGAACGGTCGGCGAAGAGACAAAACTGAGAAGAAAAAAAATGAGAGAGAGGAGAAAAAAAGAGCATGTCTGCAAGTGTTGATATTTATAGACCGAGAGAGAGAGGGGGAAAGGACAGTCTTTGTCTAATGTTTTGTGTAAGAGGAGGAGAGCGAGGTGACCGGAATAGCCGGTGAAAGGCACGAGTTGAAAATAGTCTGATTTTATGGTCCTACGTGGCAGAAAACGACGAGCAGTTTGATCGACTTTGATGACTGGTTGGATTTTCTTTTTTTTTGACAACTTGTTTTATCGGTTTTTGATGGGGTTTCTCTTTTGCTACAAGGATCGTCAAATATACTTGTTTTTTATAAATTAAATACAGTTGGAGTTTGGTGGAATGGAGGTGGGGTTGGGTTAATTAAGTAATTAAGAAAATATTAATTTCTGTTCATGCCAGCTTAATATTCTCTTGTTGGCTTGGGGTTGGGTGGGGCATGGTGGGGTATATTGAAAATTCTGTTCTAAAAATCGGTGAATTGTGATTAATATTTAAAATAATTAAACCAATGAGAATTTAAAATCATCCGAATAATGACGATTAAATGTTTCGAATTATAATATTAAAAGAAAAAATAGTGTTGATCCAATCATGTGTTAGTAGTATTTTTTTTTTTTTTCAGTTATTGAGTTAAGCGACTCAATTAAGGTTTAATTTATTTCTAAAAAATAATTTAATAAGTAACTTATTTTATTGCAGCATTGAAAATTAATTTAAAAAGATGAAATTTTTAATTTATAATATTATAAATAATATTTTGAATTATAAAAATTTTAAATTTTAGAAATTTATTAATTAATATGAGAAAAATATATAAAAATAATAAATTATAATAATTGCTCGTAACAAGTATTTATTAGTGATAATTGAAAAAGGTAAGTATTTATAATATAGATGAGTTAATATATATATATATTTTTTTTTTTGTTATTTAAGTTTCATAATATTTAGGAAACGTTTTTGTTTTTTTTTTTCAAAAAAAAAAAAAAAAAAAAGGTAAGGTATTTATTTTGCAGTTAATATTATATATATTTTTTTTTTTGTTATTTAGTTCCATAATCATAGGAAACGTTTTTGTTTTTTTTTTTTCAAAAAAAAAAAAAAAAGGTAAAAAAAAAAAAAAAAAAGGATATCTAACTCATATCCAATATGATTCTTTTATTATTGGAAAGTTATATTTGAATATTACATTGTAAAAATGGAAAAAATTTCACATAACATGAGAAATCTAGTAATAATAAAATATTCAAAATATATGATTTTTTATGTGAATAATTAATAAAAAATTCTAGGTATTAGTTAATATTATTCTTTTCTATTAAATTCTTTTTTACCCATTTACCTTAAAATTATTTATTTGTTCTCTAACCTAATTTTAGGTTTGAGGCTACCTCTACGCTTTCTTTTGCTTCTGCTTAATATCCACTTTTAATAAACTTAGATTTATTTACCCTATAACATATCTGTTTTTCTTTATTTCTTTTTATTATTGTTTTTTCTTCATATTTTGAATTTTTGTTCCTTCTTTTGAGAAATTTATTACTGAATAAAGATATGATATTCGATTTTATTTAGTTTGAGAATTTAGATATTAATTTATATACGTGAATTTTTTATTAATGAATTCTGATAGTACAATATATTTCTCCATTAATACTATTAACACATAGTAATGAAAAAAATGAAATATGATAGTATAACATATTTCTCAATTAATATTATTAATACTTAGTAATGAAAATTGATCTATAAACATCATATGCTATTGAAAAAACAATTCAAAAATAAAATATTCAGATAAATTACTTTATTATTCATTTCAATTAAAGGACTAATTTTCTGCTATAGAGATTTATATATTTTGTCAATATTATCTTTAAATGGAAAAGATGTAATAAGATTAATGAAATCTATTTGCTTTGACAGTAAAATTTTATATTCGATCTATACAAGTATTTATAATATTTGGTACTATTATTAATAAATTATATTTTTCAAAATAAAAATATTTATTATTTATTTCATTAACCCAAAATTGTATGCAAGGGATACACCCATAGTTAAAAAGCCTCTTGCGTTGACTAGGTTAGTCCAAAACTTTAGGAAGAATCAAGAGAAAGAGATTCTATCTAAATGACCAAAGTGCCCTCACGCAGAGAATCTTTGCATATTCAACAAACGATCCCTCAAGCACATACATCACGAACTAATTAAAACAAAACTCAAGGGGTTAGTTGTCCAATACCACTGTGCTAAAGACCTAAAGCCAACTAGATTTACCTTGTACCTATTGGTTAGGTAAGTTTCACCTTCCAAATTGGGACCATCCAACTACCCTTATTGTAAACGTGCTTACATTACCTGAACAAGGAAGGCAAGCCAAAAAATCTTAAATTAGGTATTTTCTCCCTTGCAAGAAAAGATTTTTAGACCCCATTTTGTCCGAAAGATTAAAAAGAAAAAAAAAACAAAGTCAAGAATTGATTTGCCAGGCAAATTCCATCTCATCTTGTCATTAAATTTATGAATAGTTAAGCTATCCGAATTTAAGATATAGTAAATTATGAATTAACCCCTCAATGGGGTAATTTTTAAGTATATACACTGGATTTAAGACAATTGTACGATAAGAATTACGAATACTTTATTATCTATTAATTTAAATTTATTTAAGAGTTTAATATTATTATTTTAATATTATTTATTCTTGTGTGTTAACATGAATATTATAAATATTATTTTTGAATAAATCAAATTCATATCTGAGAGTATATTCTTAAAATCATTGGGATGAGATTATTTTGAGATTAATATTATAAAAAAAATTTTAGTAAATGTAAGTCATTTTAGAGTAGTATTTTTATCTATGAACATAAGTCATTTTGAAAATATTAAGAAGTAATTAATGAATTTTTTCAGTTTTATTTTTATATATATTAAGCACATTAATGAACAGTGATGTTAGATAAAATAATAATTTAATCAAATTAATCAATTTGTTATTATAATTTATACGAATTAATTATTTTTAAATCATTGTGTAAAAATTTTAAACCACTTATGTTATACTTCTTAAAATTATACTAAAACTAGTCATGTACCTACACGATGCGCGGATTGTATAATTTTTTTTCATTTTTTAATTAAATTGAATGTAATTTTTGATAAAACTATTTTAATTTATACTTATGTTGTTTTAATTTAAATAATTTTCTTTTGTATTTTTTATTAAAGGTAAAATTATACTCTCTTTTTTAAATTCTCAAATATTAGACTAAAATCTTAATTAGCACAATTCATTATTATAAGCAAATTATTGTTATTCAATTGGTATATTTAGTTAATTATTTATTTTTTTCTCTTTGAAATTCTCATATATTCAAATTAAATGAAATATAAAAATATTTAATCTTAATGAAATAATTTTAGTGAATTGAAATTAATATTTTAATTTAATTTTATTTATATTAATTATATTTATTTATTAAATTTAATTAAACTATGGACACCGTGATATACTCCATTAGTTTTTTTTATAGAATAAAAAACTATTTAATAAAGAACTTTATATTAATTATTATTAATTATAATATTAATTATAATGAAATCTTTCATAAAATTTATTAGTTTGTAATTCCATTATTTAATAAAGAAAATTTAATTTTTATTAAATATAAAAACATTAATTATAATAAACGTAATAAAATGTCGTATTATTACTTTCATATTTTAATATATTGCTACATAAATATTTAAGGCTTAAAAATTATGTATTTAGATCGATAGATAAAATGGAGAAATGGCTGCAGGATATATATTTAATAATTTAATTAATATATTATACTTCTCAAAATTATCACTAAAATTATTATTTATTAATTATGCACGTGGTATTGTAGCTTTTGGCCACGCTACTCCAGGTGCTAGCTTTCCGAAAAACTTTTCAAACAAGAAGAAACGTGTTGCTCATCACGAGAGCCTTTTGTTGCTGGAGAATGAGACTAGTTAACGTGGATAATATAAAAATTTATTAAAATCTTACATTCTAAGTTGAAATTATTGTCTTACTCATAAATTACTGGAAAAGATTTATCAACTAACCGTGATATGGTTGGTTTTCTCATATTTCATGTAGCAGAATATATAGAAAGTGAGAAAATTTAAATTCGAATTTTTTTTCACCATAAAGGCTTTATTTAGCAAAACTAACTGATTTGGTAAGTCTTAGCTATTTTAATAGCATTTAGCTGTTAGCTGTTTAAGTAGTTTTTTATAAAAATTTAAAGCTGAATACATGGATTAACTCTTCACAAAAGGCTACCTTAAACTCTAAAACTAGTTTAAACGCTATGTTTTCAAACACTATAACAAATAACATTTAGTATTTTGACTATTCAAAACTCTAAAAGCTACTTAAAAAGTTATTACTGAGCACAAACAAAATCTATGAAAAGATTTTATATAAATATTCTATCCAAAAATATATAAATATTTTCGAGATCTGTGAAATTACATCATTGCGGAAAAGTGTATAAAATAACAAAAAAAATGGAGAATCTCCTCTAACTTTAAGATATAGAAATCAAATCAGTACAAACCTAAATGATTCGTTATAATACACAATAGTAAAATATATAAAATAATATATAAACATGTACAGATAATAGGAGATTCATAAATAAACTCTTATTATCATATAACATATGATTTTCAATATCCTTATCCTAATATAATTATTCTCTTCCTCATATATATATATATATATATATATAGATATCCCCAATTAACTCTAAAAGGAGGCTAATCCTCAATTCCAGACAATTAACAATTGATGCGGTGAGCGTGAAATACATTTTTGATCACCATGGCTAATGAGTTCATCGAAAGTCCTAACGCTAAGGGTCAAGATAACAACCATGGCGAGGCGGTTGAATACACCATTATACCTCCTCCACAAACAACCGACCCTTAAGTGGCGACGGCTCTAGCCCAAGCATATGCACAGTTCGCTACTATACTGACATGCTTCCTCGGGGCTCCCCGTCTGGGCGGTGAATCAACCCCC